TGACCAGCCTGGGGCTTGCTGCTTTGCTAAGGGGGACCTGGTCTCAGCTGGGTGGGTGGAGGGGGGTGTCCTCAGCCGAGGTGCTGAGAACACCGTGTCTGACCCAGTACTGACTGAGCTGAGCTCTGGGAGACTCGCCGGGAAAGCTCTTCCCCACTGGGGAATCTCGTTGGCCTTGACACAAATATTTGAGGAGCAAAGACAGCTGGTCTGTTGGCTGCTGAGTGGACACTCGCTTTCCCCAGCCCCCTTCTTCCTCTAGGAATCCAAAGACTGTAGATGCCTGGCCCAGGCACAAGCATCTCTGAAAAGCACTATTGCAAAAGTCAGTGACGTCTGGTTGGGCATCTGTGACCAAGTCCTGTCATGAGTGGAGCTTGACAACCCCAGCAGGGTCCTGGGCCTCTGTCCACGGGCCTGGGTCTGCAGAACTTAGCATTCACCAGTGTCATTGCTCATGTCTCTGCTCGACCTGGGGTTTGCTGACTCTGCAGATGCACACATTCCTCTCCTGCAGCTGGCGGGCTCAAAGCCAACCGATCTATAAATACGTGGCCTGCCTCCACGTTCTGGCCCCAGAGCCTCCGCTTGCTGATGGACAGTTCGTCAACATAGTTTTAAGCCAGAACAAGATATCACTTAGAATATGAAATTTCCCCCTGGATTCCAAGAGGATTCAGTATTTGGACAGACAGACGTGACGCTCTAGAAAGGACTTGCAACATTGTCTAGACTTTGCACTACAGCTGGGGAAACTGAGGCCCAGGAAGGCTGGTTCAGGACTGGAAGCCAGTGTCTGCCTGCCAGCTCTGAAAGTCAGTGCCATACAGGAGCATTGGTCTCTACTACCCCTTCATATGTGTGGCCCAGATCCCTGCTCCCTCCTCCCGCTTGCCTGTGAGCCCCACCACTGGGGCCAGGGCTGTGGCCAGCCAGTCTCTGCAGCTTGAAGTGCCACCAGAGGCTGAACTGCCACTCTATCGCTGGCCAAGGAATAGGAGGGCTTAAGTCACCTTGGATGTGTGTCCTGAGACACACTGAGGGACAACTTTCCAGATTAGCATGGGCACCACGGGGACAATCTTGATCTCTTGGGCCTAACCCTCTTTTGGGCCCTTGGGAGAAGCTGGGGCCACCAGGACAGGAGTCCCAGGTGGGGCACAGTCTTAGACAACCTCAGCTGCAGCCTGTGCCTGCACTGCCACCCCAGCCTACATGTCCTGGGAGCTGTGGTCATCAGCTACCTGATGAGCCCTGTCCTCGGAGGTCCTCCCAATCTGTGTGGCCAAGACCTCTGAGCAAGTAGGACAAGAGAGGACAGCTGGCTGTGCTTGGGGACAAGCATAAATGTTTCTGGGCAGAGATTGAACCACACCCCGGCAGACCTTTCTTGTCACAGTGGATCACTGGAACCCTGGCTCGAGGAGCCAGGCCCCAGACTCAGTGGGGTGACAAAGGAAGGTCTCCTGCTGCTATCCCATGGCGACTGACCTTCTCATCGGACGGCGGGCCCCAGAGGGTGAGTGTAGGCTGGAACTGGAGAGGAAGTATAAAGGCAATTGCTGGCCTTGTGGGCCACCCTCAGGCAGGGGTGCCTGCAGTAAAGGCGGTACTTTTGAGTCTAGCATCTCCACGTCAAACTCCTCTTACCAAGACCCAATTCTCCCTGTGTCCATCTCCCAGGGACTCTCAGTCCATCAGCTCCTGGGCAGTGGCAGCCTTTCTCCACTGCCCTGAGCTGCAGCTGCAGGCTCCCTTGAGCCCATGGGTGGGGATGCACTCACAGAGGGTGGGGGCTGCACCTGCCTTCTTGGCACTAGGTCTGGCCCAGTCCCACAGGTGCTCCTAGCCAACACATCTGGAGATCATTCTAAAGCCAGGGGAGGGGCTGGGGGTGGGGGCAGGGGAAATAAGTTGTAAGAATAAAACCATGGGTTCAGACTGGAACACTGGAACTCCCTGACAGTCCACAATGGTGCCATACGGACATGACACCAGGAGGTGTCAATAAATTGGCAATAAACGTCATGGGGCCAGTTTTGATAAGGCATTGCTCTGGTCTGGTCTCAAAGACACAGGCCTATCTAATAACCCCATTGTGTGACCAGATAGTTGAAACGGACGTGAAGACTTCCCATGCTAAATGTTCTCTCATGCACCATCTTCTAGGCAAAGCTCAGGGCTCTGCAGGATTCTGGGCTTTCCAGCGCACTACACACCCAGTTTCCCCAAGACTAGGACCCTGGTCTTGAGAGTACTGTCTTCTCCTATCCTACCAGATTTAGGGCATCACTGAAAAGGGATGCAGCCAAGAGTAAGTTGGTAGCACAAGCTGTATCTCTGATTCAATAGATTCAGTCAGTAGTTCCTTTCTTAGGACAGAGGTCATACAACCGTGTGCAAGGATATCTGCCACCAGACTGCTTCCAAGAGCGTCTCCAGACCCCATGGTGTTTGAGCATGGGTACCACTGAGGCAGGGGAGTGGACACAGGTTCTTGCATATTGCAAAAAACTAGCACTGTGGCACCACTAGAGAACTCTGTGGAAACCAGGCCTGGCATGGTTACAAACAGGCAGATGTGATAATGGGATAGACACACTAACCTCTAAGGATGGATAGACCAGCTTTCTTGAATTTTCTCATGTTTTACAACACGCCTAAGAGTCGGGTGACATGTGTCTGTCAGTGTGCCCTTGCCACGTGGGGAAGGCCATCATTATGCAATCATGTCATGAGCTCTGGACCATGATCCTGTCCCAGGGTTGGTCAAAATCGTGGTCCAAGGTTGTGCTGCGGAAGAGGATTCTGACTTGGGCTCAGTACCCAGTCTTTGCTGCACAGCTATGGTTGGAAACAGAATGAGAGAGCTTGAGATGGGTTGTTTTTTCTTTTTGTTTTTTACAATGTTGTGAATTGAACACAGGGTTTTACACATACTAATCCAGCATTCTACAACAGAGCTATTCCCAGCTCTCTTTTTACTTGTTACTTTGAGAAAGGATCTTGTGAAATTGACCAGGCTGGCCTTGAACTTTCAGTTCTGCTGCCTAGTCTCCTGCATAGCTGGGATAAGGGCCGATGTCATCTGGCCGGGCTGTGGACATTATTTCATACACATTTTATGTCACTATATTCAGCCTGGCAGAAGACAGGCACAGCCAGTGAGGACATCCCCCAAACCAGACACCTACTTTGGGCTTGGCCTGCCCATGACCCTGGGCAGTGTGAGCTCTGTGTCAGCTCAGCCTGAGCTCTGGCCTAACTCCCGGGCCCCAGGTGAAGATTCCCAGGCAGCCTGGGAGGGCTGGGGAGGCGTCCATGGCCAGAATAGGGTCCCACAGGAGGGAACAGCTGGAGTTGGAAATCCCATGCGGCTCCCCCCACGGTGGTCCTGCTGACGGGGGGAGGATGCTGATCTTGACAGGAGGGGATATGTTCCCACCTGGTCTGCCTTCCATGAACATCCAAACCACACACAGACTGAGGCTACGCCAAGCCTCAGCACAGTGGAGGAGAGACGCGTCTCTTCTCTCCTCCAACCCTAACCAAAACTAGACTCTGGATGCTGACTAGACCACACAAATGACCCCAAGATGCCCCCATGGACAACCTAAGCTAGAGTGCTGAGATCCGGAAGCTGCCATATCTTTGGATCCTACTGTGCCGTTCTCTCCGACCCTACCCTCTCTGGTCCCAGCAAACAGCTTTGCACTAATGAGGCAGGAAACAAGCTAGACAGAGAACCCCCACCCCACTTCCTGAAGCCCGGTGCAGCCTCCAGGGGGGAGGTGGAGTGCAGCCTGCGTGGCCGCCTTTATCACCCTGTTCTCTCTGGCAGCGGCCTCCCTAGCACTCAGCGCCACTTTGTTTATTGCTGACAGGTCCCAGCCTGGTCCCAGGATGTCTGGCCCCTCTGTGGGCAGGAATCTCACTCTGTGACTGATGCTCCTCCACACTCGCCCCCCAAGAACACAGAGGTGGCCAAGAGGAAAGGACGGGATACAACACGTGTGTCACCAGCATAGTTCTTTGTTCTTTGGGGACTTCCTATCTGGGCAGCCTGGACAAGACACCCAGAGTCTCTGAACTCAGTCTAGGGAAGCAACCCTCACTCAGCAAGGCCTGAGATCACTGTGAAGCAGCAGGGAATAAATGGTCCAGGATGACCTCAGAGGGCAAGCCAGCCTTGTCAGGACACCCATAGTCACCTCTAGTGGGGTACTGCTTGTGTTCGGGAGCAGAGGCCAGGGTCTCTGGTCTCCCATGGGAGGGGGTGGTGGCACTTGGTGAATATGGGCTATCAGCCTCTCCCTCAGCCTTGAAAAGCCCAGGTGGAAATTACTATGTATTCTTTTTAACCAGGAAACTGAGGCCCAGGAAATGCAGGGTCCAGCCTGGAGCTAGGGCCAAAATACTACCCAGAGTCTCCTAGAGAATCCTATGAAGTCCAGGGGACCCTGGGTGAAGATAACATCGATAACCTTGAAAGAGCCGGGCTTTGGTGCTTAGCCTTGAACTTCTAGAAATTAGAGTAAAAGAGTATTGGGGGTCTGGCCAGGCTCCCCCACATCTACAATACTAGGATGATCACAAGAAAGGAGTAGGCTCCCTGGGGGATGTGGGAGCCCGCAGAGAACTCTCAGAGATCCCCAGCCCTGTCGTTTCTAGGGAGGCAGTAGTCAACCTGGCTTAGAGGAACATGCTTCGCAGCTTTGAGGAAAGGGCACAAAATCATCTGTGCAAGCAATGAAGGTTCTTCTCGGATGAGCCTGACACATGAGAGATACCAAGCAGCGGACAGATAGCACAGCACTGTGCCCCCTGTCACCCCTCTCCGGGTCCCTCCAGGGTCAGGCTGACTACCGTAGTCTCTGACACTGGGGCTGAGACCCAGGAGATAGAGACTTGCCTTAAATCCCAGACTCCCAGGTCCACCCCACCTTGGCTAAAAGTTGCTGCCGCCCACACCCTAGAGGCTGGTGGCCATGGCTACCTACCAGGTGCCCTGCTGCTCTCACCAGCTGGTGGGTGGAGAAGGGGAAGGCCTCGTTGCTCAGGTCAGCATCAAGCACATCCTGGAGAACGGCACGGCTGTGAACAAGCACAGAATGGCCAGTCAGCGAATCACTCACCTCAGGGATTCCTGGCCAGGGCCAGGAAGGCAGTGGGGGCGGTGCACGAGGGAGGACAGCATGTGACATGTATGTAGACACGCTGGTAGGCACTCCACAAGTGCCACCGTGTGAGAAAGCCACCTTCCTACGGGCTGTCAAGGCCCAGGAGAGTCGGGAAGGCCGGGCTATGGATGAGCTCTGGCCTCAGGCGGGTAAGCTAAAACAGTTATCTAATCGCCAGGCACTCTGGATCTCACCTGAGGCACCATGGTGGTCACTGAGAGAAGATGGCAATGGTGGTCTCTGTTTTATACAGGGAAGTTGAAGTTCAAGTTGTAGTGAGGAGACAGGAGCCAGCAGGAGAGCACAAGGACTCTGTAGCACACCACTGCCACCACCACCGCCGCCATGCCACGGCTACCACCATCACTGCCACCGCCACCATCCCATGCATCCTCCAACCAGGCCCAAGGGTTCTGTCCTCAGTGGGTCTCAGCCTCCCAGGCATCACAAGGAGAAAGAGAGATGGGACTTCGAGTCCCCATCCTCCTGGTGGGCATCACCTTTGTAAAGACAGGGACTGTGCCCAGCTAGGGTATCCCTGCAGCACTAGACGCATCCTCCCCTAACTGTGTCCCGTTACAGCAACCCCTACTGCCAAGTTCATTGCTTTCCTAAGCCACAACATGGTTTACACTCATGACACCGCTGCTCGAAGCTGCGTCACAGAGGTCACAGAGGCGTAGTCTACCGCATTCCTCACCAGTCGCAGCCCTGCAGTCTCCCCCTCCCACCTCCCCACCCCTCTGCAGCCTACCTCAGGCTCTCCCGCTTTGGGCCCTTGCCCCAAGCTTGCCCACCACCAAGCCACGCGCCTCCTCCCAGGTCACCTCTCCTGTGTCCCTGCACACTCCTGCCCTGCTGCCTGTCATACACAGACTGTCACCCTCAGCTCTTGACTCAGCCAACAGTCATCTGCTCTAGGCGGTGCCCCTAGACTTACGGTCTGAGTCAGGTTCCCTCCCCAGGGGTCCCACAGGTGTCCCTGTGTAACTACAGAGTCATCTGCCATTTTTCTCTCTCCCCTTGCTGTACCCACTCCTCTAAGCCAGGGGCTCCTCGCCAACAGGACCCTAAACACCACTCTCTGCTTGGCACACAGTTATCTGGTGAGCGGTACCTGTTATGAGCATCTGGGCTCAACCCGGGCAACAGGGCATGTACCCTAGGGCTGGAAACACCCTCACTTCTACCCATCAGGGGTCCCAGAGGGCTGGAGCAACTGCTCAGAAGTACAGTCAGCCCAAATCCCCACTGCACAGAGCTGGGAGCTACCACCCACGCCCGCCTGAGGTGCTCAGCGCTGCCTTCTGCCAAGATCCTTATGTAACCCCAGCCCCACGTGGCGCCAGTCCTAGGGATTCAACTCAGCTCTGCTGCATCCAGACCTCCAAGAATCCAGGCTCCCACAGCCCTGGGGCAGCCACACAACACAGAGGTAGCCTGGCAGGATATACAGGGCTTGCGCTGTCTTCCTCATGGGGCACAGGTGCTACAGATGGCCCGTACAGTGGGGCTTGGAAGAGTGTGACCTAGGTGTCAATTCCAGAAGACAGACACCCAGGTCTGCCAAGGCTGCTGTCCTTCCTCGGAGAAGAACAGGTGTCCTGAGGAAAGAGGTCACCTAGAGTCCCAGCGGCTAGTCCCAGCCCTTTGCAAGTCTTAGCCCGGGCTGCTAAATGGGACCTAACCAACCCTCACAGAACCACAAAAGCACATGTCCAGTCCTGACAACTGTGACCATCCCACATAGCTCAGTGTGTCCCCAGCAACCACAGGAAGCTGTTTGAACTGAATGAAGCTCATTAAATTGAAAAACTCAGCTGCCAAAAAAAGGGTCAAGAGCCAGGAAAAGGCTCAGCAGCTGCCATATTGGCTGGCTCAGAGATAGCCAACTTCCAGAAAGTCCTTCCAAGTAGCAGTTCACATAGCACCTACCATGACCCCAGGAGCTATGCTAACGCTCCCCACACCGCTTAGTAACCAGGCCTGTTTGTACTGGTGGCATTACTACTCACATGGAAGGAGGATCTTCTGGAAGAGGCGGGGAGGAGAGCTGCCAGCCTGGAGGCTGCCATCCGGCTGTCCCCTGGGGCTGCACCTTGATCTAACTGTCTGGTATCCCTCCCTCCTCTCCTCCCTCACTCTCTAAATAGCTCAGCCCTGTCCAAGGTCATCACACTATGAAACTGGAGTCTCCTGAAGGTCAGAATGGGCCCTGTGGTACAGCAGGTGGGACTCTACCCCTTCAAGCTGATATATGGGCTTCAATCTCCCCGGGGAGGGGGAGAGGGGGAGCTGGAAGCCACACCCCCAGCACCCTGGACCCTGCAGTCGGATGCGAATCAAACACTCTAAACACTCAAATAAATGGCTCCCACGTCCCCAGTGTGGCAGTCCTCACCACCTGTCCCTCTCCCTGGCCTGTCAAGACCTACCTTCAGCCAACTGTCCCTGAACGGCGCTCAGCAAAGGCTACAACCTGGTGCCCCTTCTGTTCTCAGAGTGGTGACCAGGGTCTAGACTCAGCCAGGAGTTGCGAGTTTGGTCAGCCCCAAGATGCCAGGGAAAATGGACACCACATCAAAGTCTGAGCGAAGTAGACAGGGTCCCAGTAGGACACCCAGGGTGGAAGTGATGTCACCACACCATAATACTGATCCCCGGGGGATCCTGGAAGCCATTTCTCAGGAATGCATCTGTCCTTTGCCGCTCTCTCAAGAAGCGGCTCCCGTCTGTCCTGTCTCTCCATCCTACTTGCTGTTTAATGACTCATTTCCGGTCTAGGCCCAGGGGACCCACCTAGCGCAGGCCTGCATCTCTGTTGGGACACACTGCACCTTGCTGGTCACCGAGGAGTACCATCTAGTCCAGGTGCAGCTTCTCATGAGGACTTTTGACTTAGTGACTAGGATGGTGGTGAGGGTATGAGAGCACCTGACAGGTCCGGGGGGGGGTCCCCATCTCCCTCCGCCTTAGCTCCCGGGAACTGTGTGACCCTGGAAAATGTCTCTTCCTCTGTTTCATCAATAAGAAAAGAGTGATCACAGCCACCTGGGACAGCTGACCTCACCAACTTGTTTGGACTGAGGGGCGCCTTCTAGATTAGGAGGGAGAGCCTCCAGGAGTTATCACGGGGCTGTTTCAGAGACCTGCTCTGAATGCGGGTGATATAACAATAAAAAAGAGAAAGGAATAAGCCCTTGTCATGTGATCTCCTCTCTTTCTCTCTCCCTTCCTCCCCTCCCTCTTTCCCCTTCTCCTCTCTCTCTTTTCTCCTCGTTCTCTCCCACTTTGCTCTCTCTCTACTCACCTCCCCTCTCTCTTTTCTCTCTTCTTTCTCCTCCTTTCTTTTCTCTCCCCCCACAATCTTTGAACCTGTAACTAAAAATAAGCCCTTCCTCCCTTAGGTCACTCTTGTACAGATATTCAACACAGCAACAAAACACCTACCCCAACACCCCACACACACACCCAAACACACCCTAACACCCCCAACACATCCCCAAACACACCCCCCAACACACCCCAACACACCCCAAACACCAGTCCCCCGCAGCGTCAGGAGTGAAGGCCAGGCCAGCTTGGGCTCCCACTGGCTGGACTTGATTGGCGACTGTTCACACACATTCGTTTTTCGTCTTCTGTTTCCCCTATCCTGCCCCTTCCCCAAAGCTCTGCCAGAGTGAGCTTTCCGAGGTGCACACCTGTGCCACATCCTTGTGCCTAAGACCCTCAGTAGCACCCAGGGAATCCTGATGGATCCTGATTCCTCTTCCATCAGGACCAAGGCTCAGTTGAGGATTATAGAGCTTGAATGGTGGATGGCCTTGTCTGGCATACAGTGAGGGTTCAGAGGCCTCTCCTCGGCTCTCTTTACACATGGGAGTGAGTCCACCCCTGGCCTGTCTCTGCCCATTTTGGGAGATGAAAAATCATAGCAGCCAGAGACTCCAAGGGCTCTTCATGGAACACAAGGCTGCAAAACTAAGCCGACCCTGGTCCAGGGTTGACCCAAACCTGTTACTTTGAATATTGTTCAGCCCATGTAGCATCCCAAGTTGTCAGAACACCTGTAGTTCAAATGAGTGGTTCTGCCCATGGGCTCCACTGAAGAACCTGGGGCCTAGGTGCACCAGATAACCCAGGTATCGGGTCCCTGTCTTCTCTCACCTGGCTGGGCCTTGGATACTGAGGAGGCCCAGATCGTCAGAACTGTCCAGAAGTTGGCACTGGAACTTCTGATCCTGTAGAACCGTTGTTATGTGGGACCAGTTTTGTTGGGCCACAGCTCCACCCACAGCCAGGTAGTAGCCATCCCCTAGAGGAGAAGCACCAGGTTTAGAACAGGACCTTGGGACAGGGAACACGGTGGGGATGAGTCTAAGGGACCCCAGACTCTTACTGCAGAAAGGGTATAATTTGATTCTGCAAGGACAAGTGTCAAAGGCTTCTGCCTGCTTCTCAGAAAAAAAAAAGGGGGGGGGGGTTAAGACTCTGGTGCCTTCAGGTCCTGAGGGGTTCTAGTCCAGCCTCAACCACTAGGGATAAGAGGCCTCAGACAAATATTTCCCCTTCTTTAGGTTTCAATGTCCTTACTAGTTCCAGTCATCACTTCCCCCCATGCCCCTGGACTCCCTGCCTCTGCCATTCTGAAGTTAGAAATGGAAGAGTTAGAGGCGACAGTTCCCTCATGATGGGTAACCTTGATGGTCCATTTGACAAGATCTAAAATCACCTAGGAGACAAGCCTGTGAGCCTGTCTGCAAAAGAGGTTCTAGATTCAATTTATTTGGGGAAGAAGCCCCACCCTGACTGTGGGTGGCACCTTGGGCTGGGGCTGGGGTACTAGACTAAATAAACAGGAGAAAGTGAGCTAAGCACCAGCATCCGTCTCTCTGCTTCCTAACTGTGGATGCAACGTGACCAGTTACCTCCAGGTCCTGCTGCCATATTCTCCCTTCTGTGCCCTTGGATGTGAGCTGATGAGCCCCTCCTTCTTCAGGGGGCTTTTGTCACAGCAATGAGAAAAATGGTTAATACAACCCGGATCACCCCGGATGTTAACACGTCAACTTCCCCAGAAGTTCAGGGAGATGTGTTGGGAATAGGTGGAACCCATTGTCCCTATGGCCATAGGGTATCCACAGAGTTGCACAGGCCCGAGGCCTCTTGTTACGGCCCTCTTGTAACAGGGTCCGTAACCCTTGTTACAACCTGTGGTAGTCAGGTGTCCCTGAGCCATTGCCTTTACTATCCCTGAACCAGTTTACCAAACCTGGTACAAAGGAGGCATGGTAGGAGGTTTCTATTGTGCCCCCCATCTTTCCAACCTCCTTCTTCGCTGACTCCCACAAGGTTCCTCTGTCTTGCAGTGAAGGCCCTAGATGTCCCTGAGCGTCTGGGTCCTGATCATTTACTTAGGCAGCAGGATGCAATTGGAAGCACCTTAGAGGGCTGCTGGGAGGCGACAAAGCAACAGCAGGCACAGGAAGAATGGCACCATATACAAGCTCTGCTTCCCTTCTTCTTCAAAGGCCCCTTCCTGCCCAAGCTTTCCCAAACCAGCCTTGCAGCCCCTCCGTATGGGACTTGTTTCTACTGAGGGGTGTCTTGACCCTGCCCAGTCCACTCCCTTGCTTGATGCTTCTCCACCTCCACGACCAGGCATTGTCGTCTCCTCCCGGAAGCCCTCTCACCCCTAACCTTGTAGAGTTTTGTAACAGTCTGAGTCTGTGACAGCCAGACCTAGGCACCGTGCCTGCCCCTCCATCCAGTCTCCTCACACTACTGAAGCATCCTGAGGAGCATCCTCTGAGCCATGGCACCTTTATTTCAGAGACCCCTCCCTCATAGGAACACACACCAGCATGGAAGGATGCAGTCTTGGGAGGCACACAGCTTTGACCAGCCTGTCCCATGCACTCTCTGCAGTTTATTGACCTCAGTGTTCATCTTTCTGAGCCTCTCTGTTTTCTCCTGTACAATGGGTCTCCTCCAGCACAGGGCTACTTAAGGCCTCCAGGGACAAATTGATAGCAAAGAACCAGTTAGGGCCAACCAAAGCCTCTTCCCTTCCTCCTCATGAATATAAAAGAGGGAGAGGGTAGGAAAGGGAGGGAAGGAGAAAGAAATGGGGGGCAGAAGGCTCCCTGATCCCTAGCTGGAGGTATCAGAGGATGTTTGAATTCTGAACAGGGTCCTCAGCCATCACCAACTCCCCCCCCATGCATACTTCAGCCCCCATTCTGTTACCAGCCTGAGTAACAGACTCAGTAAGTACCAGCTGGCTTGAGAGGAAGGTGCCTGTTCACCCTGGGCAGCCATCCCCACTCCGTTGCCCTACAGAGACAATGCAGGGCCTGGGACATGGTGAAAGGCAGATCTGCGTGAGCCAAGAGGTAGGGTCTCGCCCAGACACCTCTCCACCATTTCTGGGTGTGGGGCGAACATTGTGGGTGGCAGGTCTCACATGGCTTTTCCATTATGTCGGTGTGTTTCTTTCAAGCAAGTACACCTTTTATAATATTAAGAAAGATGAATAAAGATAATTTAAAATTGCCTCCGAGATTGACAGCTGCTTAGTACACAGCCTTGATCACATGTAAATTGCCACATTCTCTTGACACCCTGGAGCTCTGAGTCACATGCATAATTAATGTGCTTATTAAATATACACATAATGCAATTGCATATGCAGCCCAGGACCTGTATCAGTACGGGAGCCATTTCTCTACTGGTTTGTGGTGTCCTGGGATCCACGACCGTCAGGGCATGGGGCTCCCTGGATCATCTGGCCATGCCTCGTGGGTGCAGGCCTCCCCCAAGCACTCAACCCCAGGAACTGTGCACAGGGTAGGAGGTACAAGAGAATACATCACAAAGTACTTTCTTGATAGCTTCCAGCAAGGTCGTTATTGCCGAGATGGGGAAACTGAAGCTTGGGAGGCCGCACCTAGTCTAGCTCCTCTTAGCTCTTATTCGTTCCGGTAGCAGCTGGGGGAAGTGGGTTCTCCTGTCCCCGTTTCACAAACAGGGAAACTGAAGCTCAGAAAGTCAAGGCCTCAAAATTTTAAAATTACAGAAAATGGTGGTGAGGATGCAGGTTGGGGATGCAGCATTTACTGAGAAGGTGCTTGCCCTAGGTCCAACCCCCACCACCCCCACCACCACCACAGTACAAAAAGATCCGAACTGTCGCTGTATCACACATAGATAAGGGGACTGACTCCTTAGTGAGTATCCTCCCCCCACTCTGCCCATGCCCAGACTGGGGCTTAGCCCCAGGAGACTCCAGGAACAGGGGAAAGAGCTAAGAAGTAGCCAGAGTCCATAAGGGCCAGCACTGCCCATTGCCACTCTCTTGGATGGCAGCCCAGAGAGCCTCCCTGTAAGCCACTGTTTTTGAAGCATCAGTGCCTTCTTGGAGAAAAGCCACGCCCACTTTGTTCCCTCTCTTCTCCTGGTGGATATAGGCCACAGGACGGGGTGGGGGGAGCCGAGCTGCCCCTGTGGAAAGCGACAGGTAGGCTTCAAGACTCGGGTGGCGGGAAGCCATTTGTCTAGATGTAACAGCAAAAACTGTGCAAGCAGGACTTAAGTGCTGATCTGCTTGTCATCAGGGGTGTGCAAGGAGAAGCGGAGGGACACACAGGTCACCCAGGTGTCAATAACGGCTGGGTGCTGAGCCAAGTATTACGGGACCAGCCCAGGCCTGAGGATGGCAGTGGCTAGAGAACCGAGACCAGCCCAGATGTCAAGGAGGAAAGAGGGTGAGTTCTGAGTGAGAGGTGTGTCCTTCCCCTGGGCTGATGCTGGACAGCTGGGCTGAGTCAGCCACACCAAGGCTGCTCCAACATGCCACAGCACCAGCAGGTTCAAAGACGTAATTACGGAGTGCTCGGAGCAGCAACACGGCTGCCCAAACATAGCCAGCATTTAGCCTGAAATGAGACAGCTAATCTCCAGGTCCTAACCACAAGTGGACATGACAGGTTATTATGTAGTCGTCCTGGACAATGCTTCCTTGGTCTTCCGGCTACCAGTGACTGCCAGTCCCCTGATCAGGTCACATCCATGCCAAGGCTTCTCATGGCAACCTTACCTTCAAAGGCAGGGGCCAGGGGACTGGCCTGGGTGCCAGGGGCCAGGCGACTGACGGTCAGGTCGCTCTCTGTGCCTCCCCGGTGGTTCAGCATACACGTGTACACAGTTGAGCCTGGCAACAAGGACCGAGGTGTGAGTTCCATCAAAGCCTGCTCTTCCTCAGGGCCTAGAGGATCCCATGGCAGGTCTTCCTCATAAGACATGTAACTCTATTCCAACCAACCAGGCTATTGATGAGGTCACCCATGGTTGCCACCTAGGGAGGGGCGTTCTTCAAAAATGTTCACCTGACTCCTCCCTCATCCCTATCCTCATCACCCTCAGCAGCATGCTGGAATCAATATCCGTGGTATAAGTGTTCAGGTATGTGAACAGTGGACAGACAGAGAAACAAGTGAGGTGAGTGGCCTGGGTGAAAGGGTGGGCACCCTGGACAGTGGATGGATGAAGAACAGTGTGGTAGAAAGGGCTGAACAGGGTGGTAGTAGAGGGTGAGCAGGTGGGTGGAGCCATTGGAAGATCCACAGGAGCAAGGCCAGCTGCACATGGGGCTGATGGCCACTGACTGGCTGCACACGGGATGTCTTAGGTTGAATCACGTCCTACAGAGAGACATATTAGGGTTTTAACTCCAAGGGTTTGCAGGTGAGACCTCCTTAGAGGTAAGGTCTTCATAATGCTGTGTGAGGGACAGTCAGTCAGACAGACTCCCATCCAGCAGAACTAAGGCCTGGGGAGTTGACTCAGTGTGTTCAATCCATGAGACCCATGTCAAACGTGAAGGTGGGGAGGCAGAGATAGGACGATCCCTGGTACTCCGTGGCTCGCCAGCCTAGCCTACTTGGTGAGCTCCAGACCAGTGAGAAACACTGTCTCCAAAATAACAAGGTGGATGGTTCCTGAGGAATGACATCCAGGCATGTGCTCTGACCTTCACATGCACACACACACACACACACACACACACACACACACACACACACACAGAAAAGATGGGGACCCAGCATGCAGCATCAGAAGCAGAGATGGGTAAAGAGGCTGCAACCCAAGCAAGGCCAATGCTCCCGGCTTCCACCAAGTTGGAGGAGGCAAGAGAGAGCCAATTCGTAATCGTGGAGCAAAGGGGCTTAACCAGCACCCTGATTCTGGCCTCTGGCTTGCAGGACCAGGAGACAATCCATATCTTATTCTAAACCACCCAGCTTGTGCGACTTGTTACAACAGCGATGGAAAAGGAATAAAGATGAGGATGGGTGGGCGGATGAGTAAGACGGTGGTAGGTGGGTGACAAAAAGATGATTATCCCAAATATCTCATGGGATACACCATAACAAAAATGGTTCATTATTTACTCGCGATCAAAATGTAACTAAGCAGTATGGATTTTTAATTCTGGTAAGTCCACAGAGGGAAAGCACCCCAGTGGTGGGGAGAAGTGACTGGGCTCAAGAGCCAGGAGGTACTGCTGAGGACTCATGGCCATGTATCCTTTTGTAAGCAAAGAAAGATGGGATCCAGAAAGGGGAAAGAAGAAACAGTAGGAGAAGAGATGGAGGAGGAGGAAGACCGTGGGGTTGAGGGTTGGTGACAGGACATAGAAGCCCAGATTAAAGACTGGTCAGACCCAGGAGAAGAACATCAGGTTCCCTGTCTGTGCCCAGGCTATGCCCATGGAGTGTTCCATCTGAAACTGAAGTGGGAGAGGAATGTATCTTACCCACCCTGGGCCCAGTACCTGGGGGTCGGTTGACATCTGCTGAGAAGAGCCAGTCAGCGGCCTTCCTGGCGTCCACCCCCAGCAGGTAGAACTTCCCAAAGTAAGACATGTTGAACACGGCAGCAGCCCGTCGGCAGGCCAGGCATTCCTCCCGGATCTGAAAGGCCCAGTGGAGGAAGACTTTTCGGGGTGCTGGCCCTGGAGACATGGGACTGGACCTTTCCTGATACACATGCTCAGGGCCCCCCAACTTCTGCCCTCCCAGCTTCTCTGTCATCCCAACCTGGGAGCCCACCATTATACATTCTTCTCTAGAAGGGATCACACAGAGGGCATTGGGCACCAAGTCATAAATAGGCTCTGTCATTCAAAAGAATTGCCATACAAGCCAGGCATGGTAACACAGGCCTGTCATTCCAGCACTGGGAAGGTAGAAGCAGGAAAACCAGAGGTTTAAGCTAGTGACCCTGCCTTTCCCTCCGAGAAACTAGAGAGAACGTTAGCTAAATGGACAGCAAGCAGAAGGAAAGACGGTCAATATATAAAGCCTACTCCATTTCTGGGCATAAGCACAGAGCAATCTAAAGAGAATCCAAGAAAACAACTCCATTTTCATAGCCCCCAAAGCCATAAAAATATCTAGAAGTAAGCTTGACAATAGAAATGCAAAGTTCTTCTTATAAAAAGTTAAAATATATGTATGCACAAGTGTGCAGACACATGAGCAAGTGTGTATGGAGATCATGGGTTGATATCTGGTGTCCTCCTCAATTGCTCTCTGTGTTACTTTTCGAAGCAGAGTCTCTCACTGGCTTGGCTAGGTTTTTCTGAGGTTGTCTTTGGGTTTTTTTTGTTTGGTTGGTTGTTTTGGTTTTAGTTTTTCAAACAAGGTTTCTTTGTGTAGCCCTGGCTGTCCTGGAACTCGCTCTGTAGTTTAGGGTGGCCTCGAACTCAGAGATCCACTTGCTTCTGCCTCCCAAGTGCTGAGATTAGAGGTGTGCGCCACCACCACCCAGCAATACCTGGCTTTTCCTGTCCAGCCTGGGGATCTGAACTCAGCTCCTCACGCTTACGTGGCAAGCACTTTACTGCCTGAGCCATCTCCTCAGGCCCTGAGGAAATGTTTTTGAGGGAAAATAATGACCAAAACCAATGGAAAGACACCAAAGTTCACAAGGCAGAAGATATGCTGTCGGTAAGATGACCACACACTCAAGCTGATCTATAGATCTGACTCAGTCCCTAGCACAACCTCAGCTGGATCATTCGCGAAGGTGGCAAGCTCACCCTAAAATCCACATGGAATTCCAACGGGCCAGAGCATCCTAAACAATGTTGAAAAAGGAGAATCAAGTTGATGTGTTCACAGTTCCTGACTCCAACACTTGCTGGTACAGGTTGGGGCTACAGTAGACAAAATATCCAACACTTGCTGGGGGAAAGAAAGCTACAGTAGACAAAATAGTGTTGGGTTGCGCTAGTGATGGAGATGTGGGCTAATGGGGTAGAGCCCAGAATCTGGAAATCACCCTCACATTAATGGAGACTGGTTTTCAACAAGGGGCCCAGGAGAATTCCACCGGGTCTCAGCAACTAGATATTCACATGCAAAAGAAAGATGCCTGAACACTTCCTCATACCACACACAAGACTCCAGACAAACACGGTTGTAGACACAAGGGCTAAAGTGACAGACCCTTAATAGAAAACATGGAAGTATGAGTTTGTGCCCCAGCCAGTCTCTTAGACACAATGTTGAAGACGCCAGCAATACAGGGTGAGAAAGATGAATTGGGCATCATCAAAACTTCAGACGTTTATACAAAAGGATTAGAGTTTGTATTGCCAACGATTCCATAATGACAGTGAAAAGGGAATGGAAGAGACTTATACATTATACATCAAACCAGGAACTTGTGTACAGGCTATGTATTTATTTTAGGCTTTGTATGTATGTATGGTGCATGTATATGTGCATGGACTATGCATGCCAATATACGGCTGCAGGAGCCACAGGGCATTGGGTGTCTTCATCTTATCAGATTCCATCTTTTTCTCTTGAGTCAGGGTCCTTCACTGATCTTGTGGGGGGGATAGAGTGGGGAATGGGAGTGACTCCTGGTAGCTGTGGGGTTTCCTGTGTGGAGAGATAAAGCCCAAGAACTCGCCGAGGCATGGGGAATGGAAAGTTTTCAATGGATGGACTGTGTGCGTGGGAATTGGGAATTGCGTCTCAATAAAGGTGTTGACAATGAAAAGCCTTCTCCTAGCCACTGATCAGGTGTGACAACCTTACTTTCATTACTGAGGGTAAAATGATGGTGGGCTGCCACAGGCTGGACAGCCAATGTGAGTCTCCGGAAGCTGGACCACACCTTCCTCAACTCATCACCCAATGAGATGACTGCCACCAACTCTCGGTATCCCTACGGTTCTGGAGTCCAGAGCAGCACAGTGAAAAGCCACAAAAATGTTGCCAGTTTGGCTACAAAAGCCCCTCATCACAAGGGCAATAGTGGAGGTCTCCAATGCCACCCCCAGAGCTGAGCAATCAGCCTTTTAGACCTTGTAGTGGGCTTCCGGGCAAGCATCACAGACCTGGCTTAGCCTTCTGCCAGCAGGTTGGCATATCAACACTGCCTCCTGAGGCCTCGGCTCCTCTGCCTCCCTCCAGACATCATTAAGGACCACTTGTTATCCGCCAGGCTTTGAGGTGCCTTTGCTGGCACTGTTAGAGCTGCCGACCCAAACCCAAACAGCTTCTTGGGCTGACACTCGCTGTCTGCCTGGCTGGGGAAGCTGCCAATGAGAACAAGTGTGTGTTTCATGCTCAGAGACTGTCTCTGGTGCATTTGCGGAGGCTGGATGGAGCTGCTAAGCCAAATTGGCATCTCCCCCGAGCTTCCACACCCTCCAGGGCCAGGAGTCCCACAGGCTGTAGAAGCTGCAGGTGCTGAGGTGCCAGACGCAGCCAGGCTCTCCCTTGAGGAGGCTGTAAGGACTGGGCACCAAGCCGGCACTGCAAGTGTCGCATTTTACAGAGCTCCTGACTCCAGCTACCACCCCAGAAAGCCCTGACCTGCCTTAGTAATTTCCTTCCCAAACAAGCATTAGGGAAACACTAAGAACAAATGAGCCCTTGTCTTCAGGACTGACCACAATATGCCATGAAAATGAGATCTCTGGTTCAGGAGTTTGGGGAGGCACAGATACCACTGACATTGACTATGAGGAGGTCTAGTGATGGCAGTCCCTGCCTGTCAAGTTCTACCCTGGATGCCATGGTGCCTCCCTGTTGCTCTGCCCACAGTCTAGGTCCCAGGCTGAGGGCTTGGCTCTGTACCTACCTCAGATGCACAGAGGGACATCGCAGGTGCCTCGGGCATAGCAACAAGCCCAGAGACCGCTATAGTTCTTAGCAGAGCTACGTGTGGTGTGGCTATCCTCATTGCTCACTCTGTGTGAGCTGCCTGTGGGACACGGGCGGCTGTAGGAATGAATACCTGTCTCCCGAGACTCAGCACCTCATCCCTCATACAGTGGAGAGACACGCACGTTGGAGAGGGACCACAAGTTGCCCGCAGAGTCTCACCTGCCCACCTTTGAGTCAGTGAACAACTCTAATGGTGCAACCACCCTGGCCCTGGCCTCTTTTGCTTTATTTGGAGGAGCCATCCAGTGGCCTTGGGCACAGACAGGGCCAACAAGCCACCTTGTTCTAGACCCACTCCACTATAAGTGGAGGTTGGAAACCTCTTTGGTCCCCAAGAAGAGGAAGTCCCATCCCTCATGGATCTGCACAGCCTCAGGACCAGAGGACGAAGAGAGGGTACAGTCTTATCTCTAGCCCACAGTCCTTGTTTTCTTTGTTTGTTTTTTTGTTTGTTTTTGTTCTTGTTGTTGTTGTTTGTTTGTTTGTCAGCTCAACACAAGCTTAGAATTATGTGGGAAGAGGAACCTTAGCTGATACAATACCTCCATTCAGATTGCCTATAGGAAAATCTGTAGGGCATTTTCTTGATTAACAACCGATGTGGATAAGCCTAGCTCACAGAGGGCTGTGCCACCCCTGGGCAGGTGATCCTGAACTGTCTAAGAAGCAGACCATGGAAGATGTGAGGAGTGAGCCAGCAAGTTTCACTCCTCCGTGGTCTCTGCTTCAGTTCCTGCCTCCAGGTTCCTGCCTCAAGTTTTTGTCCTTCATGATGGACTGCAAGCTGCAAGCTGTAACAAACCATTTCCTCCGCAGGCTGCTTTTGATCATTGTGTTTTATCACAACAATAGAAACCTCGACTAAGACAGTCACCCAGGCCAAGTGCCTCAATCCTGCCTCTTGCTGCCCTCCAGCAGCAATACTGAGGGACCCTCAGCCCTGACTGCTGGTGCAGAAAAGAGAGGGAAAGGAAAATATCACATGGTTTGCACAAAACTGTAGTAGCGAGAAAGGGGTGAGCCTGGAGCCCCCCCTTCACCGGAAAGCCAAGGGCCCCACGGGCAGCTGAGCAGTGGATTCTACATGAGGAACGGAAAGCAGCTAGACCCAGCACAAGCTGCTTACCACGTGGTGGTGGGGTGGGAAGTCGAAAGTGTACTCATCCCCCAGCAGCCTGCTGTAGGCGTAGTTCCTGTGCGCTTGCTTTCCATAGGCCCCGTAGTAGTCGTAGTCAAGGACCTGTTACAGAAAAGAGAGGCCATCTCTCACTCCCCCTTCCTCTTCCCTCCTTGTTGTGGCTTGAAGGTAAAATGCCCCCCCCCACCGTGGGCTCCTGTGTTTAGCACTTGGTCCTCATCTGGGGGTGCTGTTCCAGAGGCTGTGGACTGTTTGGGAGGTGGAGCCTTGTTGAAGTAATTGGGTCAAGGGAGAAGAGGGGGTTGAGACTTTGTAGCTCAGCCCCACTAGCTTTCTGCTCTCTGCTTCCTGACTGAAGATACAATGTAGCCGACTGTCCTCTGTTCCTACCACCATGCCTTCCCTTTGCGATGCTACATCCTCAACTAAGACAGCTACCCAGGCCAGCTGCCTCAATCCTGCCTCTTGCTGTCCTCCAGCAGCAATACTGGGGGGCCCTCAGACCGGACTGCTGGCGCAGAAGAGAGAGGTAAAGGAAAACATCACATGGTTTGCACACACCTAGATGTGGGCCTCAAAGCCTCTGTGACCTGCTCCCAGGGGCTGTTCCTAGGATGCTCTGGGGAGGCCCCTAAGGCATCCCAGAAGCCAACATATGGGGCCGTTCAGTGGGTAAACTGACACACAGAGGCACAATTCCTCCTACTGACAGCAACGAGCAGCTGGTGTTGCCAAATATACATTCTGAAGGGTGCGTAAAACGGGGCTACTTTCCTCCTAGAGCCAGGAATCTGCCATTCTCGCCACACTGTGGGTCTGTGCTGATATCCAGTGCTTGCCCATTGGGTCTGGGAAGCCTGGCCGCTGCAAGCAAACTGGGAGCCAAGGCTTTGCGGATGCCTCACCACTGGGAAGCCAAGAGCTCTTTCTCAGGTTGGTACTCAGTTTCCTGAGTGTGGACAGCTGACCTGTCACCACAGCCCGAGGCACATTGGATTGGCCTAACTCGGGTGGCTGGGAGGATGCTGGATAAGGATGGGTATGAGAGGCCCAGGGTCGCACAGGACCAGTGCCCAGGCATCATCACTCACCGGAGCTGTTTCCTGGGCATTGAACCATCCCGGCCGTTCCCAGCCATGTCGTTCTTGAAACACACAGCCTTGTCCAAGCAGCTCCTGGATGGAGACAGAGAGGGCCCATCACATAAGGCCAGACACCGCTTGAGATGCAGAGCCAGGGCGCCTACCACCCAGACCCAAGAATGCTAAGGGAAACAGGATCCCCAGCTCTTCCCCCAGAGTCTCCTCAGCACAATAATCTCTCATCTAGAGAATGACCTGCTATGAACTATGTCCCCCCAAGCCCTACCAATCAGAACATATGCTGAAGCCCAAACCACTGCATGACAGTCTAGAGACGGAGCCTATGGGGAAAGCATTAGGGTTGAATAAAGTCATATAGTAAATCCCAATCCCAGAGGGCTGGTTGCCTTCCAGCAAGAAGAGCTCCCAGGATGCTCTCTGCTCTGGGAGGACATAGAAAGACAGTGATTTTCCTCATCCTTGGTCAGGGCTTTGGTCAGGAACAAGCTCAGGGGCAACTTGGTCTTTAGTCTCCCAGAACACAGAGACTGTATCCCAAGAAGACTGTAATGAGAAGTCTGTCTCTGCTCATGCACAGCCTGGCTGTTCCTCTGATGTATACGTGGTCATACCTACCATTCTTCTACCACCCAGGCCCCACCTGCCTGCTGCAGCACAGGACAGACTCCCGTGTGTGTGTGTGTGTGTGTGTGTGTGTGTGTGTGTGTGTATGTGTGTGTGTGCAAGTCTGTGTGTATATATTTGTGTGTGTTAGTGTGTATGTATATGTGTGTGTGCGTGCGTGCATGTGTGCAGAGGACAGAAGACAACCTTAGAAGTTATTCCTCAGGTGCCATCCACCTTGTTTTATGAGACAAGATCTCTCACTGAACCTGAAGCTCACTGACTAGGCTAGGCAGGGGAGCCTCCTGCATCTGCTTCCCCAGTGCTGGGACCATAAACATGAACCACCATGCCCAGTTTTTTTATATGTGGGTTCTGGAAATTGAACTCAGGTCTTCCTTCATGCTTACATGCAAATACTTTACCAACTGAGCTATCTCCCCCACCCCTGAGTCTGGTTTTCAGGACATCTGCCTCTCCACTCGATCTAAAGCCCCTGCAGGAGCTGGTCTCCCCCACCCCAACCCTGGCACAGCACCCTATACAGAATTCATGGAATACAATAGAGTACCCCACATGTGTCTGTTACCCTAACACCCCAAGGCCCTCCAGCAGCCTTAACTTCCGTATATCCGGTATACCTCATGCAGGGGATCTTTCCTCATGTTGCGTCCTGCCAGTGGCTCGTCGTGGGGGAAGACAACTGAGTAGTTCTTGGCATAGGATTCATGGCTGCGCTCACGGATCCAACGGGAGTGGTCCGTAAGCGAGTGATGGAAGCGTCTGCCGCCAATGAAGGAGATGAATTACTGTTTGCGGACAACCTGTCAGGGATCCAGCCTGCAGTCTGGGCCTGGGCTAGCCTCTTCACTTGGTCATGAACCACTCCTCTCACAGCTAACCTAGCTAAGGGTGTCATGAGGAGACCAGTACACAGTGGACTTCTACCAGCTTGGGTCAAACAATCATACATATGGCCCAAGATAGCCAGGGGTGATGGGTGGTCCATCTTCCCATTTCACAGACCCAGAAATTATGGCTCAGTGAAGAGAAAGGACTAGCCCAGGGCCACACAGGTGGGGGTGTTGGGTAGGCAACTGATACCCATCTGTTTGGCTGTGAAAGAAGTATCTGCTATCTTCCGGAGGCCCCTAGTGCTGAGTAAGCTATGGGACCCTCCCTTGCAGTTGGGGTTTAGACATGCCCAGGACCCAGTGGCTGGCTGCCCTACCCACACATGTCCCCTAATGAGGGTGCCTCCTTATAGATGAAGGTGAAGGCGTGCATCCTGTCCTTGATCAAGTTATAAATAGGTGACCCATAAGGGGAAAATGGGCACAGAAAAGAGGCTCTGGTTTGTGTAGCCCCCAACCCGTGATTCTTTCTGTGTATGTCTTCCTCTGCACCTCTCTGTCTCTCTGTCTCTCTCTTTCTCTCTGTCTCTGTCTCTCTGTCTCTGTCTCTGTCTCTGTCTCTCTGTCTCTGTCTCTGTCTCTCTCTGTCTCTCTCTCTCTCTGTCTCTCTCTGTCTCTCTCTCTCTCTCTCTCTCTCTCTCTCTCTCACACACACACACACACACACACACACACACACAGGCCTGGAGTCCACAATGGGTACTCAGGTGTCCTGCAAAGGTACAGCTGACCCTAGCTAATCTGGTCCTGACACTGGAAAGGGGGCACTGAGGATGGTCCTGTGGCTCTGACCACACAGCTGAAGGAGGTCAGGCTGCCCCGCTCTATTTACAGTGGGAGGAGTATGAACAGGCCCTTCCCTGAGGCCCCTTGCAGCTGTACCATTTCTAGAACATTCTTCTCTGATAGGAAAACATAGGCATGGCTACAGACAGTCTCTGAGGGGATAGAGCAGACCTCACAGCACCAGAAGCCGGGTAGGGGGTGGCACTCTGGGGTTCTCAGACTCGGCCATCTGTCTTCGTGATGGCAGACGCCACCTCCCCCATGGGTGCAATGTTCTCATCCAGCCAAGAGGAGACAAGCTGGCAGGGCTCTGGGACATTCTGCACTGAGCCAACAGCCCCTCCACCCGACTCTGTCCCCATGTCAGGCCAGCAGGGCAACTGGGTTCCGCCTGGAGACTATTGACCAGGAACACACACTGACTGCAGACGGAACAGACCGAGAAGCAGCTTCTTTCCTGGCTGCTCGGTCCCTGTGCTGCCCCTGCAGGGCCTGATATGGCCCCAGCAATGGGCCAGACTGCACAGGTCTATGTGGCTATTCTAAGAGTGGATATGGAGCCTGGGCTAGACAGAACTAAGGAGTCTCCTGTTCCTTGGCTGGGAACCTTTGTAGCAGGCTGTGGAGCAAGTGCCTTCAGGTTCCTATCATCAGCATTTGACCCAAGTTACATGGTTCAGTACCCAGAGCTTCCACACAGACTCAAGTCACTCTCTGTACCCACACCAGCTTGTCCATGCTGATTGTCCTGCATCATAGGGCAGAACCTGCCCAGTGTTGACTGAGCCCGACTCATGCCTGGCTACCAGACAAAGAGCCCAGCTCCTGGTCCTAACAATGATCTCAGCTGGACTCTTTCCCCCAGCCTCAGTCTCCCAGTCTGTGCAGTAGAACAATGGGATTCTGATGATGAGGAGAGTGGGTCAGGCAGGACCTAGGCCAAGAGATCCTGGACTCTGCAGAGGCTGTGGCCTGCCAAACCTAGGTGCTCCTCCTGACACCTCCCACCAACCACTGCCTACTTCCTCCCACCCTTGCTGCCCCACTTCCAAGAGATCATCTGGATTTCAAGGAAGGTTCCTTCCTAAAATAGCCCTCACCCCTATTCCCCCGCTGCCCTTCTCTCTAGCTCCAGCCACCACACTTGCCTGATGTCATAGCTGTACATGTCCTTCTCCGGGCGCCCATGGACAATCCAATTGGCCAGCTCGTGCCCACAGCCACCGCCCAGCATCATGCCTGGCGAGGTGGGAATGCAGGGCTACAATCTTCTCCGCACGCCTTCCACACCCAACTTTACATACCCATCACCATGGAAGCTCCCACCCTGTTCTCGCACCTGGGTAGAGAGGGTGGCACACCTTCTGGCAGGACTGAACCCTGCACCACAGGCCTCCCCATCTCCATACCACCAGCGCCTTTCCCCGTCAGGTGCCCCCTCACCTGCGCTGTTGAAGCCACAGCCAAGAAAGAATCCACGGAGCTCAGGAGCCTCCCCCATCAGGGGCTTGTGGTCGGGCGTGAAGGATTCTGAAAAGAAGGAAGGCCTCAGACTCCTTCAGACCTCAGGCCCTTGGGGTAGGGTATCCCAGGACAGTATGGGTAGGAAAGTGGTCCTTGGATATCTCTTTTGTTGAAATCCTTCATCCTTATGACCCAAGACAATACTGTTTCCTCCAGGGAGCCTCCCTGGTTGCTCCTGTCCTTGTTCCCCTAAGCACTTCACCTAGGACCAGCACTGCCCCATGGGCCCAGATTCATCCCAAGAACATCGTCATTGCCCCACCAACAAAGGGCCTTCTTTGACCACATAGTGGTGCAGCTCCCCCCACTGAGCCACCATCTTCCTGTATCATTGCCCACCGGATATTGAGAGCAAGGACCAGCCTTGTTAAAGGCCATGGACTCAGGCTCAGCATAGAGGTTAGCCAGGTACTCAATGTGTGCTCTTAATTAGTGATCACATTTTCTTTGCTGCCAGGGTGCCTCAGAGATCAGGGGACATTTTAGTCACAGTCATGAATTCATCCCTGCTTGACTCCTCAGGCAAGTCATTCTGCCCCTCTGTGCCTTAGTTTCCTCTGTTGATCAATCAGGGTCCCAGGACTGACTCCATAGGGCTGGGTTATCATACAAACATTTGTATTTCACCACAACTGTCTTGACAGTCAAGACAGTCAAGACAGAACAGAACTCAATCTACCCAGCAGAACTGGTCGGACAGCAAGACAGACAGAATCCAAACAGCCAAATAAGCGAAAATGAAGGTGTCTCATAGAAGGTGCCCCCAAAGTAACCTAGACGCTCCCAGTAGTCTTGCATGGCATGAACCATTACCACCAGTGTTTTATCACAGGAGAGGAAAATGTCTGGCTGGGGTCTGCTGTGCGCCAGTCACTCAGCAAAGCTGCCCAGATCCATCCAATCCCAGGTAGAGAAGTTGCATGCCCATGCTCCCCGGAGGGTGAGTAAATCCCAACCTGCTGATGGGCACAGTATCTGAGCTCAGAGGCAACCGACTGTGGAGCAAGAGGAAGCTTTCAAACAGTAAGAAGCTGCTGGCACATCAGATGGCAATGGCAGAGGAGACAGGTCCAAGCGACCGAGCACTTGTCCCTTAGAAGGGACCACCCCGATTTGTCCCACAGGAAGGTCCATCCCCGATATCAGTGCCAAAGCCTGATATGGTATTGGACAACAAGAAACAGTCCTGAAAGAGGCTGTGAGAGGCTGAAACAGAGGGTCTCCTGATCCACCACACCACACACACTGGCCAAATAGGAGTTCAGCATTTTCTCATGGTTCCACAGTAGTCCTGTGTGCTCAGAAGGACTTGGCATTGGAATGAGTATCCTGAGGGAGGGCTCAAAGCTGGCAGACCTGGATGAGCCGAGTATGGTGAAGCTCACAATGATGCTACACTGAAAAACCAACGGGGAAGGGGAAGAATTTGGCCTGCAGGGCCAACTGCTTTTTACCCTTCTACTAGAAGGCCTCGCAGAGGGGAAGAAGGCCTGGGATGGAGGTCAGGTGACTCTCCAGGGTCCTGTGTGAGGCTAGACTGTATGAGTGAGGGTGGGGGCAGTCATCTGGGTAGGACCAGAGCGGCTGGAGAAGGCGATGGGAGCCATGTCCAGGTCTAAAAAGATAAGAGTGGGGAGCTGGAGAGATTGCTCAGAGGTTAAGAGCATTGCCTGCTCTTCCAAAGGTCCTGAGTTCAATTCCCAGCAACCACATGGCGGCTCACAACCATCTGTAATGACGTCTGGTGCCCTCTTCTGGCCTGCAGACATACACACAGACAGAATACTGTATACATAATAAATAAAATAAATATTTTAAAAAAAGATAAGAGGGGTCTCAAAAAAGATTTGTCAGAGCTAGGAGTGGAACTTTGGTCAGGAGGCCAGGTGTGGAGTACAGGATTCCTTAGATTTTGAACATAAGCAAGACTGAGAAACTTAAGGACACTGGAACTCCTAGCAGCATGAATGGAAGGACTTGAATTTGCCACCCCAACCTATCTCTGAGTTCTCAGCCAGCCTAGGTCTACGAGCTCTGTCTGCCCCTAGCCTTCCCAAAGTCTGGGGTTGGGACATCTCTAAATTCTGGAGGCACAAACCTCTGAGTTGTCTGGCAAGGAGAAAAGCTATCCACCCCCCAACCTACCCCCAAATCTACCCCCACTGCTAAGAGACCAGACCCAAGCCATCTTCCCAAGGATGCTTTCCCCAAAATAGGGCCCCATGGGGAGTGACAGCTTCCAGGCTAATTAGACAAAGAGAGCCGCTGGGGACATTCATGCCCTTGGGAGTCTTCCTGTGTTTCTCACCATCAGTCCCACTCTGGCTGAGCAGGGATGTGAGTCACAGCCCTCGCCCACGTCCCAGATCAGGCATGCTCTCGGTCTGCTCACAGAGGCTAGCAGCTGACTCCATCTGGCCTCCCTGGGACTGCACCCGGTGCCACAGCCTTCCTCGTCAGCCACACATATGCACACAGACTGAGTCGGCTGCTCTGTAGCCACCAAGCACGCCCAGACAGTGAGAGCCGGCCTCCACAGAGGGCCAAAGTACCCTCCATGTCTCCTGAGATGGGCTGGCCACTTTGTCCCATAGAAGACCCTTAGCCTCCTGGTTCCCTGATGTTCCCTCCCATCCATAAGGCTTTACTGTCAGTGACTGGCTTGGCCCCAGTCTGTGACTTCTCAGTCCCATGCCACCTCTGCTGACTGGTGTTCTGTTTTTACTTCCCAGGTCACACGCTGTGGTGCCCAGAGGCTCCCAGTCATAGACTACTCAGTCTGTGGAGCTGAAGACAGTCTCCTTTTGGGCTATCCTGTATCTTTCTGAGCTTGATTCTCAAGGAACCTGAACTGGAGGACCATTTTCCCTGTAGAAAGGAGGATACACACCCTGAGATTCTGCCGAGACCACGTTTCCACACTGCCGTGTGTGTGTGTGTGTGTTTTTTTTTTATCTCAGCCCAGCGCTGGCTGGCTCTGGTGGCTGATGCTGACCTTCAACTTGGCAGGATCTGGAATCACCCAGGAGGTTAACCTCTCAACTGTGAAGAATCACTAGATTAAGTCAACCTTGAGGCATGCTGGGAGCAGACTTAGGCTAATTAAGGCAGGAAGACCCATGCTGAAAGTGGGTGACACCATTCCCTAGGCTCGGCCCTAGACTAAGCCCCGGCATTCATCTCTCTGCTTCCTGGCTGTGGATACAATGTGACCATCTGATCCAAGCTCCCCCTCCAGGACTTTTCTGCCATGATGGACTGTGCCCTTGAACTGCGAGCCAAAAATAAGCCGTTTCTCTTGTCAGGATATTTTGCCACAGTAATGAGAAGAGTAACTAAGAGAGGCTTCTTCCCCTAGGCATCCCAGCCTGTGTCTCCCCTGCCAGGCTGGCAATCCTCACCCAAGAAAAGGGTGGACTTTGACCAGGGTGAGTACATAAGCCCTAGGTGTGTGGGGCTGCTGGGTTGTTCCACACTTATCTCCAAGGTGCAGCTGCCTGAATCTCACATTATCAGCATGGACCTACTTTCCAGCCTGGCCTCTTTCCTAGGATCCTCTGCACCCTCACTCTGGGGCGGAGCCTGGAGTGCCCTGTGAACAGTGGCTACTCTGTAGATAACCTACAGGGAGAGGGCCTGGGAGCTAAACTCACCCTTCTTAGCCTCCTGGAGAACAGAGAGGAGGCAGGATCTTCAGAACCCCTAGCCAGGAATCTCTCTGTGCTGAGATCATCTCTAACCTGACAGCATTCTGGCTACCCAAGAACAAGGGGTGAGGCCAGTGGTTGGGGACCCTGACCAGGGACGTGAGAATTGGAGTGGGTGCAATCACTGCTAGAGATGGTCCGTCTTCCTGTGCTCACTCTACCTCACACGGTGCCAGGTCGGGTACCACATTCCTATTTTACAGATGAAAACCCCGTGTTCTGGGGGTGAAAGGGGTCTAGAGTCTCAGTGTTGGGTCAGAGGCTTCATGGGCTGCCTGCCCAGGGATACATTGCCGCCCTTGCTAGCTTGGGTTTTCTCCCAGAGACGAAATAAAGAAAAGCTAAGATCAGGTAACACGAGGCAAGTCACCCTCAGGAAGGCAGTCAACCAGAGGGACTCAAGGTTGCCTCTGTTCCGGCCTTAGCGTTCCCACTCACCAGGGCCACAGACAGTGGACTTGATCCCCGTCTTCTCCAGCACAGGGACACGGTTAATGGCACCTTCGATGTGCTGGGTGAACACATCCCAGTCCAGGTCAAAGAGGCCAAAGGCAAATTTGTCTGATACCTGAAAAGGCAGCAGGGCGAAATCTGTCAATCCACCACGAGAAAAGCGCCAATCCATTCCAGGTTCACCTCTGACACAGCTCCAGCCCTGAGGCAAGTAGGGCACGTGACTGACTTCACCAGGTCACGGGAGACAGATGACAGGACTCCCCTGTGGGCTCTCCCACACCCCTTCCTTCCTCATTCCACCCTCACCTCGCTTCCCTGCACTGTTCCTGTGGGCTCCAGCTGGGCACTAACCTCTAACCTGTTCTCTCAAACCGTGCAGGAGCCTCCCATGGCTCCCAATTACCTACCACAACCCTCCCCCCAAAACCCTCCATGCACCTGCCCTCCCTACTGTTTCCCTGTGTTTGGCCTTTTGACCTCCCTTCTGCTTTTAAGAAGGGCAAGCTAAGTCACTCATGGTGGCACACCCCTTTGATCCCAGCACTCGAAAGGCAGAGGCAGGGGGATCTCAGAGTTCAAGTCCAGCCTGGTCTACAGAGTGAGTTCCAGAACAGCCAGAGCTATACAGTGAGACCCTTTCTCAAGAGGGGGTGGGTTAAGCTGGAGCTGTTCCTAGGCCTCCAACCCGGGCAACGGGTCATCCTGTCCACCTGTGCTACAACCTGACCCCCAGTATCTATGGAGGATTCATAGGCTGCTAACTATATTTGGGGGTGCAGGCACCACCCACATTGCATTATTTACCTCTTAGATTTTGGTTGGACTTCCTACCACCAGACATCTTGAGACGGGGGATATTATCTTAGTCTCCCCGACACTTTTCAGAAATAAAGGGGCATTTGGTGCAGAATGGCCATCTGATCATTGTTCATGGCTATGTGGATGAGACAGTTGGGTGATGCCCTGAACTCTCCTCCAGCCCAGAGGCCCCACTGTGGCCCTGGGGAGACCTGTATCTTTTCTATTAGCAGACCAAACACTGGGATCTTTGCAAGCTCCACTGGAGTCTTAGCATTGCCTCATGCTGAGGTGGGCAACCATCCCACCCTAGCTTCTGTGTACCTGAGTGCCAGCTCTCAGGAGCACCTCTGTTTCTCTGCCATGGGACCCTTGGGGGTCTTACCTCCTCCCAGAAGATGGGGTTGGCCTCATAACCACCCACAGATAAGGCATCGCCCTGCAGGCGGAGGTAGACAGAGGCATCGTGATCTCGGACATTGGGCATGTTCTGGAAGGCAGAGCAGAGAGGCCCCAGGCGTCAAGCCGGCCTGATTCCCATGCCCCGAGGCAGGCCCTGCTCTGAGGAGACCTGTGGCACCTTCTCCCGCACTGGAGATGAGCAGGGAAGGAAACAGACAGAGACAGGCAGGAACCCTTTGCAGTGGCCCTGTTCATTTGTGCGCAGTGAGCGGTAATCAAAACGGCCAAGTTAAGGACCACTTTTGGAAGCTCAGGGATGCTTTCAGTCCCCAAATACTGCTTTAAAATAGCACCGATTAGCTCTGCCAGGACCACCTCCTGTACTAACACGCCCAGAGAGCTATAGCGCAGGATCGTGGAGACCCCTGGTGGCCAGGGATGTCCACGTTCCTGTTCCAACAAGACAGTACTCACCTCAGTACTGACTCTCCCCATAGGTCCCTACAACTCTGAGGATACAGTAAGTGCTCAGTTCAGCACACACATGTCCACCCAGCAACTCCACCTCTCTCTACATACAGGAGTCCACCCTACTCTTAGTGGATAGTACGGCCCTATTCCCATTTTTATCCCAACTTCTGACCTCAATTTATTCTCCCCGAGCTGCTTCAAACCCTGCTGGCTGCTTCCTCTTGACAGTTAGCCTGATTGCTCCTGCTCTTCTTAGTCCCTCTGAAGCAGCAGCTGGCTAGGTGACTGCAGGCTCCTCTGTCACCATTGTCATCACAACTACCCCATGAGCTCCTGCCAGACCTTGCTCCCTTCACCACTTGCTCTGTCTCAGCACAACTCCATGCACAACTATTACCCCTGCTGAAGGAAAGGAAAGTCAGAGTTGGTAATGTGGCTCAGTGGGTACAGCGCTTGCCAGCAAGTCTGAAATCCTGGATTCCGTCCCCTGCACTGCACCAACTCGGTGTGGTGAAGCACAGGATGGTCGGGAGTTCCAGGTCATCCTTGGCTACAAAATCAGTTCAAAAGGAGGAGCCTGATCTACAAAGAGAGGGGAGGGGAGGGGAAAGGAGAACAGGAAGAGGGAGGGCAGGGAGGATGAGCAGAAATAAGAGGAGGAGAGGAGAGAAAGATGGCCCGTTGAGGTGGCTCACTGAGTAAAGGGGCTTGCCACCAAGCCTGATGACCTGAGTTTGATATCAGGTACCCACATGGTAGAACTCCATAAATTGTTCCCTACATGTTCACATGCTCACACACATGTGCGCGTGCACACACACACACATGCAATGAATCAGAATAATGATTGCACTCTTCTAGGCTGGAGATGGGAAGATGGGAAGAGTCTGGTTTCAGACCCACAGCCTCCACAAAGAGGGATAGGGCCTGGGAACTCTCTTCTCATACCAGACTGTATCAGGCACAGTCTTGAACTCTGGGAGCTAATGGTTCTATCCATGTGCTCTTATACCTAAAGGCACACAGGGACCCCTGAGTGACTATATAATACTGCAGCTTCCTCCTGACTTTGACATTCCTGGGAGAGGGATGGCCAACTGCAGTCCATCCTACTGCTTCCCAAAAGGAGGACTTTGTCAGGCACCAAGAGAAACTAGCTAGAACTGAGGGGTGGTGCCCCTCAGTGGACACCCTGTGGCTACCCTCTCAGCAACCTCAGTCTATGACATATCCTCTGCCTGCCCCCCTTTACTTTACACCTTCCCAACTTCAGTATAGCTCTTCTGGATCCATTCATGGTCAGAGAGTGACCCCTGGTGGCTACCTGGGGAGTGGGTTCTCCCCACAGTTCTGTGCTTCAGGGGTCAGCATGGCCATTCTTTCTTGCTCACATAATACAGTACAAAGTAGGTGTTTCTGTGCATAAGGACCTACTGTGTGTTTGGAGGAGTTGCCCTGGGATTGGTGGCAGGAACCCACCAGACCCAGGCTTTTGCCATACTGTCTCCTACATTCACACTGTAAAACAGCCAGGCTTGGCATCTTGGAGGCAGGAGGGCAGCCAAACTCATGTAGAGTGGGGGAGGCAGGCCCCAGGGGTGAGGCTTCTAGTATGGAGAAAAGTGGGTGTCCAGGCGTCCACAACTCTCATCACTGGCCCATAAACAAGAGCAGTCTGGCCTCTCACACTCTCCTCACCCGACAGCCTATGGCTCAGTTCCCTGAACTGTCAGTCAAAACTAAATGCCATGCCCTTTGTGATGAACCTTCTCCATCACCCTCAAACCCTCACTGAGGGATGGCCTCCTCCCTCTCCTGAAGCCCCTCAAAAATCAAGCTGGTCCTCCAATCTTGGTTAGAGACGTCAGACATACCACGTCACGCCATATTTGGCCTAAGTGAAGTCAGTTGAGTATGATCCACTGGGACAGGATCTACTCAGAGCCCTAGAACCCCTGGGGGGGGGTTCCCTTTCAGAAACCTTTGCAGTTTCTTTGGGGGGTTCTCCTTTGCTTGTCTACATGATCCCCCTTTACTCTTCACGCAAAAACTGGGTCTTTTTCTGTTTTTGTTCCACCTCCTGGAGTAGAAAGATGAAGCCTCTCCAGTCAGTGTTGGCTGGATAGAGGATTAGATTCCCATTGTAAAGAATTAGCAAGTAGATGTACAAAGGAAGAATAGAGGGAGGGAAAGGTGAATGGAGAGAAGGAGGGATGGAGCATGGATGGGGGAACGAATGGAAGGCGTTAAAGAAGAAGGGATGGGGACTGGAGAGATGGCTCAGAGGTTAAGAGCACTGATTGCTCTTCCAGAGATCCTGAGTTCAATTCCCAGCACCCACATGGTGGCTCACAACCACCTGATGCTCTCTTCTGGTGTGTAGGCAAGATGCAGGCAGAACACTGTAAACACAATAATTAAATAAATCTTTAAAAAAAGAACTGAAGGAAAAATGAGTGGGTGGATGGATGGATGGATGGATGGATGGTAAGTAGATTGGTAAATGGCTGGGGAGATGGAAGAAGACACTGAGGAAGAATAAAGAGTGGGGTAGCAAAAAGGAGAGAGGGAAAGAATTAAATGGAAAGATAAATAGGTGAAAAAGCGGTCAATAAGGATAAAGGGATGGAAAAAGAAGGATGAATGCATGGGGAATACAGGGGATAGGAAGAGGAGAAGAGGAGGATGCAATGGGTTTAGAAGGAGTGATGCGGGGATGGGGGAGACAGCTCAGAAAATTGGTGTGGGGAAGCAGGACGGTCAGTGACAAGGTGTCAGAAAACCACCAGCCACCAGCATAGGAAGCAGAGCAGAGCAGACCAAGAGGGGAGAGAGCGGGAGGCTATTAACTCCAGGGGCCTGCAGGTGCACCAGGTCTGGGCTTCCTTCAGCAGAGGCTCTCCGAGAGATACTGAGTGCCAGGAACCAGCGTCTTCTGAACAAAGCCCTGGCTATCAGACGAGATATCAAAGAGAAACCAGGCCATGGCATCCAAGATAGGCCACACCATCAAATCCACTGTGCCAACTATGCCAACTCATGAAGTCTGCCAGCACCCAGAGGTCTCCCTTGCACAGAAGAGGTGCCTAAGCCTGAGGACCGCGTCATTTGTCTGCACCCAAGCTAGGTAGGTTTTAGGGCAAAGTCCTTGACCTCACCCGCCCTCCCACTGCAGAGAACCTGGCACCGATGATTACCTGGATGCCCTCGATGCGCTCAGTAACAACGTAGGCATGGTGCATGGCCACCAGTGGTACCTTCACCCCAGCCATCTGACCTACAGTGCTCGCCCACACTCCTGGGAACAGAATGGAGAGTAACTCAGCTGCCACCCGAGGGGACATGGGACATTCCTCAGCATTCCTGCCTGTCTTGACTTTCCAGCCCAGAAAGGGGTGAGACCAGAGTTGGGGGGGAGCCCAAGGAGCACCATTCCACCTGCACAGTTGACCACGCAGGATGTCTGGATGGAGCCATGCTCTGTCTCCACGGCTGCCACCCGCCGCACTCCAAAGTCATCCACCCGCACGCGGATGCCAGTCACTGGGCAGTTTTCGATGACCTGAAGGGGGGGGGGACAGCACCTAAAGCCACGTGGAGATTTCTGAAGACCTGTTCTCCATCCCCGACATACTGGATGGGACCAGGAATGCTGCTTCTGTGAGGGACACTTCCTGATTCTATTTCCCTCATTTGGTCGGAGAAACGGAAGTCACATCACAAGAAAGCAGAACCCACTCCCTTCCTTGGTTGGAAAACCTGTGCAGATGTAGGAGGGGTGAGGGCGCTCATTCGGAATAAGAGAGTAGCTGGCTGTTTTTCAGCAGGTAAGATTCATTTGAGAAATGGAAATATGTTTGTACATCACTCTGGGTTTTTTTTTTTAAGTCATAAAACGATGTGTCTGTTTATGCTTTCACGGAAACACTTGAAGAGAAACACACCAAAATGCTCACAGTCCTGACTGACATTTTTACCGCTTTTTTTGCTTATTTATCTTTGTCATGTGTGGTGTCTGGTTGTGTGTGCATGTGTTATGTGCATGTGTTATGTGTGATGTCTGGGTATGTATGGGGGATGTGTACGTGTGTTGTGTGTGATGTCTAGGTGTGCATGCATGTGCATGGGTGCATGCACTGTGCTAGTTAGTTTTAATTGTCAACTTGAAATAATTAGAATTTCAATCTAGAAATAACTAGAATGTCAACTTGTCAACTAAAATCACCGTGGAAGAATCTTAACTGAGGAATTATCTAGGTCACGTTGGTCTATGAATGTGTCTGTGGAGAAATGTGTTGGTTATTAATTGACCCAGCCCACTGTAGGCAGCACCATTCCCTGGGCTAAGTCCGGACGGCATGAGTGAAGAAAGATAACTGGGCTAGTTAGCAGGTAACACGGGTATGCTCATCCTTCCCTGCTCTTGACGGTGGGATAGGATGAGGCTAACGGCTTGAGTTCCCACCTTTACTCCTCAATGATAGACTATAACCTGGCTGTAAGCCCAGTCAACCCTTTCCTCCCCCAAGGTATTTTTTGTCGGTGTGTTTTATCACAGTCAGAAACATGCAAGTGGGATATACATACACATTTGGAGGTCAGAGGACAGAGAACATGGGTGCCCTCCTCTATCACCCTCTGCCTTGTTCCCTTGGGATAGGACCTCTCGCTGAAACTGGGGCTCACTGTGTCCACTAGGATGGCAGACAGGAAACCCAGTGATCTTCCTAACTACCCTCCCCAGTGCTGAGGTTACAGTCACCTATCACATGAATGCTGGAAGTACAAGCTGTGCATCAAATACTTTTATCCGGAGAGCATATCCCCCGTCATCATTTTGAGTTTCTCTACTGTAAGTGTAGTTTAGGGCAAATGAAGACAAAATGTTCAGAATGGATCCAGAGATTTCCTCTGTGGCAGAGTAGGATCCTTGAGGGAAGGGGGATGGGAATGCAGATGTCTGGACAGAATGGACCCCAAGGCTGAGAGGTTCCAACAGGCCCAGGACCACAGATCAAACCAAGGATGGAGCTTGTTCCAGGTCTCAGGATTTGGAGGGAAAGGGGGTGGGCTCAAAGCAAAGACCCAGAATTGGTAGTGATGGGTACCTGAGCTCCTCGAGCCACTGCTGCCCTGGTGAGGGTAGTGCAGGTGCCGGCAGGGTCCATGGTACCATCCTTTGGCACATACAGGGTTCCATAGAGGTCGTCCACGTTCATCAGTGGATATAGATCCTTGGTCTCCGCTGGGCTCAGCACATGGGATTCTACCCCATAGGCCTTGCCTAACTAGAGGGACACAGAAGAAAATACCTGAGCTCATGAAAAGTAGGTCTTTAGGCCACTCATCCAACCTGACGCGCCAGGTTCAACCCCAACCCTGCTGCCTCTAGAAGTCTGAGCAGGTCTCCATGCCCAGAGAACCCTTTGGGTCTGCTCCAGCAGGAGGTGAAGGGGTAGAGCCAGTGCACAGGCAGGGTCTGAAGCCATATCCCTTTGGCTCTCGTATCTGCTGGAGTGCAGCTTGGTGACAGGTTTGGAGAGACTGAACATCTACTCCCAGAAGTGGGCTAAAAGAAATTAGGGCAGTTGATTAAGAGCTTAGACAAGAACAAGGCAAGCTACAAATTGCTTGGCGTGACATAATAAAATTAAAATGACCCTCAGTCTCATATTTCAGGTTTGAGAATTAGGTTTCCAAGTTTCCTTCCCAAGAAACACCAAGATCCCGCCTTGGTGGCACTGTCAAACAGACCATGCCCCATGTTTAACTAGCCAACGGCAGCCAATCAAAAGGAGGTGATGGCCTATTTAACAGGCCTTCACCTGACTGGTGATGAGATTCTCCAAGAATATTTTTTCTTTTTGAGACAGGGTCTCATGTAGCCCAGGCTGGTCACAAACGATATAGCCAAGGATGCCCTTAAGCTCCTGATCTTTCTGATGAGGTAAGAGGCAGGCAGCACTATGCCAGGCTTCGGATTACTTCATAGGTAAAACTCAGTAACTCTGCATGGCTCTAAATTCAAGGCAGGTGAGCTGCCCCATCATTTGAATCAGAGTTGTGGGTGTGCACACTAAGCAGGCGCTCTATCAGCTGAGCCTCTTCCCCCACACTCCCCAGGAATCTTGAATGAGGAGTATGGTCACACCTCTCCACCCAGGTAGCCCAGCCAGCAAAGAGCAGGGATAGGGTTTGAACCCAGATCTGAAGGCCCTTGTTTCCAGTGCTAAGGGATTGTTGCATGCACTCGCTGCTGGGGCCTCCTCCCCCTCGCTGCCCCTCCCACAAAGAATACAGCATCCATGTGAGCTCCTCAAGGGCACACCCCCCACCTTTTCCCCTAGGGAATCCGGTCACCCACCTGAGCCCCCTGCAGAGAGTGTGCCCAGCTTTCCCTAGGCGCATACCCACCGACATGAGCCTCTTGTACTCATCCAGGCGCTGCCGGTTGGAGGCGATGAAGAGGCCACCGTTCTGGATCCAGCCTGTGTGCATCCCAGTCTCCTCCTCCAGATCATGGCTCACCACTTGCCGTGTGTGGGCCAGAAGCTCTACCTCCACATCGCTGGGCCGCAGCTGCCACAATAAGCCTGACCCAGAAAAGGGCGCCATCAGTCCCCTGCAGGGTGGCATCACACCCACTTCTGCCAGCCAAATAATGGGCAGCAACGAGGAGCCCAGGGAGGCTGAGTAGGACGTCGCCTGCCACAGCTGGAGGTTAGGGCTATTCCGGGGCAGCTCCAAGCAACAATAGCTATGCCTCCCATTAACAAGTGCCATCTGCGTGCCAGGCCTGGTGCGGAGTCTAGCCTAGGGTGACCTCAAGAGTCCTCAGCAGCTCTTGAGAAGCCTAGGCTAGCCTCAAACTTGCTATGTAGTCAAGAATGAACTTGAATATTTCTTCCTGTTTCTTGCTCCCAAGAACTGATATGATAGGCCTAAGCTACCAAACCTGACTTTGAGAGGTTACAGGTAAACTTCATAGGCAGTGAATAGTTGAGTTCAAAGTCACAGAGCAGGTGAACATGAGACAGAAAACCGACTGGAGGGAAGTAGAAAAAGATGAGATCTCCTGAATAAATTGGGAGCATGGGGAACATGGGAGAGGGTTGAAGGGGAGGGAAGAGGCAGGGAGAGGAGCAGAGAAAAATGTAGAGCTCAATAAATATCAATAAAAAGAAAGAAAGGAAGGAAAGAAGAAAGGAAGGAAGGGAGAGAGAGAGAGGGAGGGAGAAAGGAAGGAAGGAAGGAAGGAAGGAAGGGAGGAAGGAAGGAAGGAAGAAAGAAAGAAAGAAAGAAAGAAAGAAAGAAAGAAAGAAAGAAAAAAAAAAAGAAAGAAAGAAAGAAAGAAAGAAAGAAAGAAAGAAAGAAAACTTACTGGACCCAGATAACCCAGTTTTCCTAAGACTACTACTTTCAACAGCAGGGGCTGAATGGTACATGCCAGAAATGAGGCTGGTGTAACGTGGAGGGGCAGGGGTGACAGCCCAGCTGGACATGGCCTTGGGAGATGGGCTGAGGGCTCAGAGCAGTGGGCCTCTTGGCAGCAGCCGAGGTACAAGTGTTAACACCACACCAAACTGGCAGCTGTGCACCAGCATGCCACTGGTTAAAAGGGTTGAGGGCATGCAAACTGTGGGTGCTCAGGTTGTCACAGGGTCAGTAGGAAAGTTCCACAGAAAATGCAGCCCCTGCCATGCAGGTCCAGCCATTCTCCAGCAGGCATGCCTCTACCTGGTGGCTTTCTCTGGGGAAGGGGCTCCTGCTCTTGGTACAGACAGCTGCCTGGACCCAGCTTCACCCCGACCCAGAGGGCCACAGGCAGTGCCTACACTCTCCCTGGCACAGCTCTTTGGAGAAGAGAGTCTGGCTGGCCTGCCACCCCAACTCTGCGGCCCCTCCCAGACTCACTCCAGCTGTGTCCCGCCTACCCGCCAGCACCCAGGGTCCCACCTGCTGTGTGCCAGGTGGTCCCGGACGTCAGTCGCTCTCTCTCCAGCAGCACCGCACGACCTACACCCAGCTTGGCCAAGTGGTACAGGGTCTGGCAGCCTAAGCTGCCCCCGCCAATGACCACAACATCGGCCGTGCTAGGCAGGGGCTGGCTTGGTCCTTGGGGCACCACCGAGGAGCCTTGTGCCTTCTCCTTCAGGGTCCGCTGGTATGGAACATTCTTCTCGGCAGTGGGCCGGGTATCCCTGGCTAGGGGCTGCAGTCCCAGGTTCCGAACAGATATCCCTTGAGGACAGGTGGCAGCCACGCGTAGGGCTCGGCTCAGCGAAGCCATGGGGACTTAGTGCTTCTGTACCTTAGGGAGTCAACAAGAGAGTCAGGCCGGATGGGGTGTAGGGCAGACACTGTAGGGTTGGACAATGTGCATGTCCATGTACCTGGAGCTTCCATACTTGGCCTTCTTTCTGCTGCTTCCCCGTGGTATATACTCACTCAGTCACTCACCCATATATTTATTCAGTCACTCACTCACCCATTCACTAATTCACTCATTCATTCACTTACTCATTCACCTATTCACGCACTCATTCACCCACTCATTCACTCACCCACTCACTCTCATTCATTCACACACTCACTCATTCACTCACCCATTCACTTACTCATCCACTTGTCCACTCCCTCACTCATTCACTCACCCATTCACTCACTCATCCACTCACCCACTCACTCACCCA